TTTGATTAAAAACGCATACGTTTCCTGGGGAAAGTTCGTAAGTATTAGTTTGTGAAATTGATTGTAAAAATACTGAAGAAATATCTTCTTTCAAATAAACATTTTCTGCATATTATAGAATTATAAAGAATTAGTATTTATAATACGCAATAAAAAATTAGTGTTTATATAAGTATACCTGAATCGGAAACACTAACAAACAAATGCGAACTGGTATTTAGATTCGAATTTTGATCCATAAATCGAAATTTGAACTGAATCATTTGTTCTCCACGTTTTCCATACTTTGTGTTATTTGATAAACTTAAGATCAATTTATAATTATTTTCAAATGGAATTGAAAAATATCCATTATAATAAGTTCCATTTTTTCCTAATGGATCAGTAATATATAATCCTAAAGGCTCTGTGATATATTTGTTGCAGTCCTTAGACTCACTACCATTAGCGCTTTGGACCCCTTCAACTATTTTTAAAGTCAAAAGATTTACGAATGTAAGATTTTTATGAAGCATTCCCTTATAAGTCAAACTTTTATCCTTAAATTTTAATGTTTGACTTGATGTAAAATTTAGCGATAGTATGATTATATATATCTTACCAGAAATTTGAAATCCACATGTTATCGTAAACATATTTTCAGAAAAGAATTGGACTTCTGAATTAATTTTTAAAACAATAATAATTTATTATAATTTCAATGATTTATTATAATTTCAAACATATATATAAGTAGTAAGTGGGAACGGGATTTTAAGTGGATTTTGAATTTTAGGGTTAAGGTTTATATAAAATAAACACCACCTGAAATACTAATTGAATTAAGAAATTCCAAATTCTCTTAATTCCGGTTCCCACTTACAACATATTTTTACCTGGTACCGGTATATCTTCTTTAATGTATGAATAATTGATGACAGGTTTATCGTTTATAATGTTGAAAATTATATTAATCGTATAGATTATAATACAGATTAAAAAAAAGAACATAGTAATTATTCTTATGGCATGAATTGATGAAGGCTCAGTCTTGCGATATCTCTGGTAAATTTCTCCCAAGATCATCTTTCTTGAATTTAGGAAATTATCACTTAATTATTATAAACTACATATCCTAAAACTTATCTATATATATAATATTGATATGTATACATTGATTAGTTGATGATACGCCAAAAAAAAGTTACACATAGCGATAATAATTACTTGTAATTCTGTAATTTCTCAGATTTCATATTTTACATACGTATATATGTATACATTTACATCCCTTTCTCTTTTTTCCATATTTGCTATAATGATTTTATTATTTTTAGTGTTGCTAGCTCCATAAAAGGAGAATAATAAAAAGTTTAGACTGCTTTCTTTTGATTGATAAATCTTTTACAGCTCTATTTATGTCATGCCTGAAGTTGTCACGTACGTACGTACCTATAATTACTATTTAATGCATTGCATGCTTAGTTCTTTTAGTCTTACTAGTGTCCCATGTTACACAACATTTAAACATCTCAAATCACATCTCGAATATCACATCTTTATAAACAACGGAAGAAAATATTCTTTACTTTGATCAATTATAACTTAGAGTAAAACTGTTCTTTTTGGCCAGATAAAATGTCATACTGTATATGCTGACTAATATTGTACTACGTGGAATTAACTAAGCTTAATTAAAATTTACAGCCATGTGGTGGATAAAATTTTATTTACACTTAATGTGCATCAGAGAAAGAAATTAAGTTTTGAAAAGTGTAAAAAAAGAAAATTAATTATTCAAATATTGTAAAGAAGGAAATCAGACGAACTTATAATAATGTATAGCTCGTCATATTTATAAATCAGCTAGATAGCCATAAGCAAAATTGGATATGTAGTTACTATTATAATATTGATTTTAGGCCAGACCAAGTTGATTCTCTGTTTTATATTACCCTCTCTCCCCTCCAGAGGAGGGGGAGGGGTGGTTTACATAGTAAAATTTTAAAAAATTTTTTTAAAAAAAAATTTTTCCGAATTGTTCTGTACTATATAAAAATTTTCCGAAATAGCCCGAAGCCTATATATATTTATCTAATTTTTTGTTCGACGTTTATGGGCTGAAGCATTAGTTATTAAGAAATTTTATAAATTGCTATATATTATAACTAGGCTAGCTGCGCGACGTAGTCGCGCTAAAACCAGGAACGTTGTGTGAATGTATAGTAGTATAAGTTAGATTTTGTATTTTAGTAAGTGCGCATTTGAATTACTGTATGCTTATTGTACAAAAAATGAATATTATGTATTT